CGTTTAAACGGGTGCTTATCCATAGCAAGCAGGTTTTTGACCTTGAACTGTTGACCGCCATTAACGCTACAAGGACCCACCGGATACGAAGAAACTCAACTAGCCAATCAGAGCAAGTGAAAAAGGCTATTCACTTCCTTGCCATATTGGATTCGAGTAGAAGAAGTAGTTGCCTTTCGTGACTGTTAAACCACTTGATGAGCTTCGGTTAAAAGTCACTAGAAATAAGACAAGGAGTTACCTAGCACCTCACCACTTTGACTACAGAATGAAGAGCCTTGAACCTGATAACCAATTGTTCATATTGTATTTGAGTAGTCTGTTGTGAGTGAAAAATATAAAGCAAAGAATGTTCTTGACTTGTCAAACAAAAAAACACTTAAGCTTTGTTTTCAAAGAGGCTGAATACACGTTTTCAAGAGCCAAGGTTAGCGTGATTTGACTAAAAATAATAAATGGTATTCGTGTTTGTCATGGATCCCCCTAAGATTAGCTCACTGAGGAAACTCCAAGAGGCGAAAGAATACAAGTAACATTTAAAATAATCAATTCCCGTTGCTTACTAAAACTGAGCTAACAACAGAGTTCGATGATGTACGCAAGTCAACCTTGGACACTGATGGCAAGGAAAAGCCGGTCAAGCTCAGAACACAAAAAGACAAAATTATTTTATTTGACGAGTTTTGAGGCTAAAAGACAGCATGGTTTTCACAGCCACTAGTGTTGAAGCGGATAATTTTACTCAGAATCCAAGTTGATTTTATAGATGTTTAATTGATTGACTTATTTTGACAGCCCACTTAAACGTGCGCAAAAAACCAGCGATTAAAACTGCGCTAAAATAGGCAATTCGATTCACACTTCTTCTTTAAAAAGTTCAGTTATAGAGCTACCGTGAGTAAGCATTTTTTTTTTTTGACGATATCGATTGCTTAATGACCTTCGTTTCACATCACTTGAGAAACGAGAATCGGCCCTGGTTCCATTAGTTCAAGAGGGTTCTCAGCCCAATACAATATCCGTTGAGTATATTGGCCTCACTGCTTTGGTGTGCGGGTTTTCCTAAGTAATAAAGTAAATCATAGTGAACATAAGGACAGCAGCAAATCTAAACAAACCAGGAAAACCTTGTCTGCGCTGATTGTCTGGCGCAAATGCCAGGTTGATCTGTCTCTAAGCAGGATGATTCCGTGACCCTCCAAATTTGTTCCTTGTCTGCGCTTAACCCCCTCCAAAAGGACGCCTGGAGGCGATTCAAGCGAGCAAGCTAAAAATATCGCTCAGTTTAACTACCACACAGGTTGTAAAACGCGCCAAAATCATTGAAACCGTTAGCAAATGACTGCAACTGTAAAAAAGAGGTAAAAAATGTCGTGAAAGGTGAGAGAAAATGATGGCTATACTGACTGTTGACAAACAAAAGACGAATTCAAAACGTTTGCGTGAGCAGTAGTTTGTATGATGACGCAGGTACTGATCCCACTCTTGAAACATCCATTCAGCCATGTAACCCAGTGTCTCAGGGAATCAAGAGCCAAAATATCACCCCCTCAGCTAAATTTGTAACTCTTCTTCAGGCTGAGCTCACGCTAGATACTTACATGCAAATCAGGCCTAGAAATAGCACCCAAAAAGACGTCAAAGAAGATCACTTTTTTCCAGAAACAGTGCTGCGATGTTATATTTATGTTTCTTTCGCTGCGAATTCACGCCGGGATTTCAAGGTTTTTTAGAATTCTTGGTATAAACGGTTGATTACAAGCGGATTTGCGCTCGAGAGGTTCAAAAATTATTATGCAAATAACCCCAAAACACGTGGTTTGCCCCGGGCAAGGGTCTTTATTCTTGCCATACCAGCCACGCTTTTACTAAACACAAAAATGCAAGGCTTTTAGTTAGACATATCCGGTATAAACCCAGAGTCATCACTATCGCTCCTTGGAAAGCCACAAGGCAGTTTTTTTGCTTCTAAGTGCCTCAAAACCTTTGACAGACATTTGTGTTTCAATTAGCGTGTATTAAACAATTTTGTTTAGTTTTTCACTTTTGGCAGCGCTAACGAAGTTCGCCGTCTAAGGATAAACATAACATATTTTTTCGAAGCTTAGCAACCAAAAAGCATTAGAATTGCATATGAAGGGGGTTGTAGGGGTACACAGTAAAAAGAAGCGAGAATTTAGAGTATTGAAAATAGACAAGCAGTGTTATTTCGAGTACATGAATAGGAGAGGAGGAGCCGCTTTTTAGGGAGTTTTGTCTTCGATTATTAGCAAACAATGGTTAGCAATTCTAAAAGTGTAAACCTATCATCAACTAGTCTTTTCATGTTCAAGAGTTCGAACATTCCCTGGCACATTATGAGCACATTAAGAGTAAGTTTTGCTTTTAAAAATTACTGCGTCGATGCTGTAGAGCGCGCGCGACACCGGAAAATACCGCCCAGTAGTTCTCACTTGAGGCTCCACGCTTAAGTATTTACGAATACCTGACCATCATTTGTAGAATCGTAAACAGGACTACGACCGGCGCATTGCTGATGGTCGCCTTTCACCGAGGGTTCGTCCACAGACGTACACACAGTATCGCAAAAAAGTTCAACTGAATGCTGCTCGTGAATCACAGTTTAGACATTAAACTTCAGCTGTAGTAAGCAGCAGATTCAAGCCATGACTTGATAGTTGTCGGTGTTTCGGATCTACCAAAAGATATAGCTTTTTTTCATAGAATGGTTGATTGAAGTTTGAAAAAGCGCCACAAATTCTACCAGACATAAGCTAATATAACTTGGCGCTGGACTTTTGTACTGTTAGATACTGATAAGGCAGTATTTGCGCTCAGAATACGCCATCTTGACGCTTTAGGATCTCTTCTCCACTTGCACCAGCTTAAAGCGATGGCTCAATATCGTCTTGGTACCATTTAACATATGTCAAGGAGCTGGCACAGAAATCCTTGGCAAGGACACGCAGTCTAATTCAGTGTTTGAGTGTCTTTTATTGAATTTACAGGTAAAAAATTCAAACTTTGCCCACAAGATAAATAAATCCTCCATAGCGACGTGGTGTGCGGCGATATCTCGTCTCCCGGCTTAATATTGACTCACGAATAATTGTTTATTGTAAACTTAATACTGACAAGCATGGCAACATAGGCCGCTAAGTAAACTATGAAATACAAAAATTCGACCAAAGTTTCGTTCCACTGTGCTCTAACCAAAGTTAGAAATTTTCAATTATTGGAACCAGACGACAGTTTTCCATTGACCTTTCGCTTCTCATTGCCCAGAAAGCAACTACAAGTCAGCTATTGTGAATTTTTGTGCGATCGAAGAATCTTAACGTTTCTTTATCATTTTGATTTCAATTTGACCAAGTTTCTTGCCTTTAGTCAGCAAGTGACTGACTGATAGGCGTTTGACGGGGATACAGGAAATGACGCGAACACTTAAATGAATTAAAATTTCTTGTATTCTGTCTGTCCCACCTGCTCTTTCCAAAAAATGTATCTTTAATAGCATTGAACTAAACTGAATAAAGCACGTGCTAGCAGAAGAAAGTAAGTTATTCTTTCTTTATCTGATAAAATGTTCCTTTATAATTAAATATAAACGGGGAAAAATAGCGTTATGAAGTGTACACAGTATATTCTGGCAAAAGGCATTGCTGCGATAAAAAAAAAAGCTATTTTAATTTCTTTCAAGTAGTTTAAATTTCAAAATAGAGTCTCCGAAAGACCATGTTATTACTCTAACTTAATCACTTAATGTTTAGGGGAGCTAACTTTTTCCAGGACAAAAATGGCGCACGTTCGATCTTGGTCATCAAGTAATGTCGCTTAACCGATACTCAATCGGTGAATAGTTTTATTATAATAATTTTTTCATTATTTTTCCTAATACAATAAAAAATAAAAAAAGGAGAAGCTTCATAATGAACCTGCTTTCCGCACATCTATATTTTTGTTCGGTTTGAGGTGTAGTTCAATTAGACAGCATTCACTAACTTCAACGCCACTACTAACACATATAGCACTGAGGGTTGGGGCGCAAAAAGCTTGCAATTCAAAGAATGAAAAGGCAAAGCTTTTAGAATCGTCAAATAGTGGGTTGTCTACAAAGAAAAGCTGTAGTTTTATTCATGAGGGGAAAGAAAAGCATTATGTTCGTTTTATGTTTTAAGTGACGGGTTCCGGTGGCGAATTTCTTACATCTTTTGTGCTTTACATCGAACAAAGTACCGACGTCCGAGTGCTATAAGGTTTAAACGAAACGAGCGTAAAACACAGGAAGAGAATTCCACCTTAACATTACACCAGGTGTTAAATACTCAATAAGAAGGCGGGAATCCCAGCATGACTGACTGTTGGGGTAAAATACAGACCAAAGAACTTCAAATTTTTGGAGGAGGAGGAAAAAAAATTCTTTGGCCTTCATCCTGATAGCTTGTTTCCGGCGTGTTTCATCGAGCGGAGAGTCGCGCTAAAATCCAACCGTGGTTGTAATCCCACGGTAGTAGTAAGATTTGAAAGAGCTTCATTGTTCGCGAGCTGGTTGGACTTTTAGGGCTTTTAGCATTGGTTTGAAGCGTTGCCCTGGCCATTGTGTTATTATCTGTTATTTTCTCACCTATTGTCAGAACCTTTCACGTTTTCTCTAATTTAACGCCTCTCTTTTAGGGCCTTTTCAAAGGGGCCTAAGTAGTTCAAATTTGCACTTTTGTTTCGTGTCGAGTCCAACGACACTGATTAAAACCGACTCGGAGAGAGATCACAGACCCTTCCACGCCACCTACAATATCCAATTTTAAAATTCCCCGAGGTGAATATGCAACTATTAAACCGCACTACTTGTAATTCGCCTATTTAAGCAACAGAATTTGTGAAACGCTGGTGATAGGAGGTGGAGTTCTATTGTAAATCTGTAAGCTTCCCTGTCATCCCAAACAGCAAATTTTCAGAATCAGGGGAACGCGTTTTATAACGTCTCACCCTGGAACTTTGGACTAAGATTTCCCTGATATAAGTGCGAGCACAATGAAGTCATGTTGTCTTGAATCTAATTGCTTGACAAATATTGACACAGAAAATTTTTATTCAATTTTTACATAACATACACAAATAAAAGGACTGTTTCGAAGGGCCAAACTGGCTAGCAAATTGTACCGTTCAAATATTAAATATATGTGTTGATCGTTTAAAAGCCATCTGAAACTTATCCGTAAATAAAAGCATGCCCTTTTCGAGGGTAGTTGTCCGTAAGACTCACTCTTGCATAAATAGATAGTATAATTCAATGAAGTTCCTTAAACGAGAGCCATGTTAGAAAACGTCAAAAAAAAATCTGTAAGACGAGATGTAAATACAGTTCAAGGGAAATTCTATTTACATCTTATATATTTTTTCATATAATTCTGGTGTCTATGTACAAAAGAACGCGGACGAGGTAGCGGTTGTTTCGTGACATTACCTAGTCTCAGTCAAGAGAGCAACGACCCGCTGCTGAGTCTCCAGAGAATCTAGCCAGCAAACCTTGTAAACTGTACAATCATTCATTTTTTAAGTAAACTCATCTTAAAATCAACTAAATAAAATCGCATTTCTTAATAAAATCTCTCTTTTATGCTGAAAAAGTTTCATTCTTTTTCTTTTGCGTTAGCTCTTGAGCGATTGACTCCGGAATAAAATTTTACTCGAAAATTGTGTAACGGGTTACTGAGCGCGCTTGCATCACATTGAAGTTTTTTATTTTTCAGCTTTGATGGCTTCGATAACCTAAACAACTGGGTACTGTAGAAATGTCCAGGGACGTTTGTGACTTTATAGGCGTTGTACTCAATGGTTGTGATACCGGGTTGGGAATGTGCAGATCTTGTACCGGATCGACGGGTGAATTCTGTGTTGATGGTTTCGTGTTCTTGCTGATCGCTTGAGAGTTACATTTCTTCCATTTCATTCTTCTGTTTTGAAACCAAATTTTCACTTGCCTCTCTGTGAGATTTAACTGAGAAGCCATCTCGGCTCTTCTCTCCTTGGTAAGAAAATGATTAAAATGGAATTCTTTTTCTAGCTCGAGTAGTTGTTTGCGGGTGTAGGCTGTCCTCTTGCGCTTTCCCTCCGTTGGTCCCCTATTCCACGCAGTTCCTGTAAAACAACCGCAAAGTACACCATTACAAACACGCGAGTGTAAAAACCACTAAGCAGAAGATTGCTCTGTAAAATGGGCGCAATCTTCACGTTAAATCACAGTTAAATGCTGACTAATGGCGATCGCTTATTAAGTACAGTTTTATGGCGCGTCAAGTATCGTCAGCAGTTAAATATCACGGTGCTGGGAACCTGTAAATATCGTCCGTGCGGTCACAAATTGTCGTCCGAGGACAAATTTTTAACAATTAGTCAAACTTAATGCCGAATTAGTGCTTGTAAACCACATAAGTTGTTTGTTATGCGATAAACATTTCACATAGTTAGGAGGGAAGGTAAGAGTTGGCCGCGACGATGACTTGTGCAACTGTGCGGCGAGTCAAGCTGATGAGCGAGCGAGCGAGTGAACGAGCTTAGCGCGAAAGAGGAAGTTATTGTTCAGTACTTACCTGTAGCATTTGAGCTGTGCCACCAATTTTCCGGCGAAGAAGTGCTTTTCAACCAAGCGTACTGATGGAAAGAACAGTTTTGACTGGCTTCTTGGGGCGAATAGTAGCTTTGATGATCCATATGTAACGAATTTGAGTTCTGACCTGTAATCGGTGGGTTTGCGGTGTATGGGGACGGCTCCGCGGTATATCCATTGACTTGACCGAGGTTTCCCTGCGGCATGGGTGACATAAAATTTGGCAACGGCGCTTGATTGTAATAATTTGGAGACTGCATACGGCAAGGAGAGTATGGAAAATCCAACGGTTGGTTATGCGCGGTGGTCTCCTTCCCTTGCAGGTTGCTACCAAAGAACGGATAATTCTGCGACTGCATCGCTCCGGTTGTCATCGTTGCCTTGTTGAAAAGATAAGCCTCTGGGTCGAGTGCGCGGAGGGTATTTATAAATTTGTTTTTTGTATTATAAATTATGTAGAACGCCAGACAAGCGTGACGCATGTCACCTGGGTAGAAACGTCTTGTAAACGCATTATTAAGTATTGAAAAGGCCTTAATTAACGTAAAAGCCTCAATACTGTACCCTGTATGCCGATGGGCGTTCTGAGGAAATTTGAGTGCCAGATCTAGGAATGAAATATAGAGAGCAATTCGCGAGAAATAAAAACTAGTTCAGATTTTTTTTTTACTCAGAACTCGGTAAAATTCAAACAATCTTATTTTTCAAGTCCTTTGTTGGAGTCAACGAACACGATCAACAAAAAAGGAAATATTTAATTTTAATTTTGTCGCATTTGGTATTGGAATAGAACAACCAGTGGTAAAAAAATTCCCGGTTGAACTAAGTTCGTCTTCGGAGTCCTTATTAGTTAAAAAGAAAAAAACAAAACAAAACAGAAAAAAACAGGATGAATTTAACATTTATTCTCTTCAACAGTAGTTTATCCTTTTGCCTTGACCAGCTTCATTTGAAATCGCGGAATTTTGCTGTAGTCTTACAAAGTTGGAATAAACAGTCTCTCATTAATAGAATCTTGCTGAGATTTTGGTTGTTTGACGGCATCGTGTGCTTTGTTCGACAACGAGTACTTCCTGAACTTAACATCTGTCTAGCGTAAACATTGATAAAGTCCGGAGCGTTTTTATATCCCTCGCTTACGGGTTTTCCGGAAAACAAACACGCTTTGTTATCAGCGAAGGGTACAATTTCCACGGAGTTACGTCGACTGATCATGAAAGAACGAGTGCGATACGCTTTCTTCTTAAGATAACCTAGCTCAACTGAATGCAAAGTGGAAATAACTTGTGTCCGAATTTGAGTTTTAATTTGTACAGAGGTTTTAACCAGAGTATTGGTGAATTCAGCAATCGCGGATGAAATTGTTAGAGATAAGAAACTGAAACGCTACCAGCTGTGGTTTGAGACAGGTTTGTTTGATAAAAGCAAACTCGTAAAATCGTGTAAAATTTGTCCCGCGCGTTAATCAACGTTCACTTGTCGGATTCAACATACAATTTTGTTCTGGTTTGTTTGAAGGTGTTAACAAAGGGCCTCCCATTCCACCAAAGAATAAAAGCGCAAAACAATGAAGCTTATATTAGACTAATGAAAATCCTTTGCTGAATGCAAAGTGAAAACAAGATCGAAATGTGACCTTAACAGAAAAAGAAAAGCCAAGACCATTTTTGGTGATTTTGTAGCAAATGCACCCATTTCGTAATTTACCAGTCTCGCAAACGTCCCATTCTGGTTTCTACATCAACATAAACTCTTAATTGCTTCCACAAACTGGAAGAAAATTCTCTGGTTATTGCCCGGAACATCTAAGAAAAATCAGGATACCAACTCTATTTTCCAAGTATTCTTTATTTCATTCAAACAAGGCTTCCGGGATATAAACAGTTGAAAGGGTTTTGACAGAATTAATGTGTCATGTCCTTAATTTATAACACTGTCCGCATAATAAAACTGTAAATCTCTTTAAATTTTGTTTTAATATTCACATTCTTCGCAGTAGGCGTTATTTGCTCTTGAGAAAACGAAGTGTCAGTTTTCTATTGCTCCAAACGGAATACTAGAGTTGATGCACAGATTGAAAATTACTTGAACACTAAGTAATTTGTCGGAGGTTCTCTCAGTAATATACCTGCCTAGCAGGTGTCTAAAAATGGTCATTTTCCTGATTGCGAACTACATATAGGGGTGTTTCAGAAGTATTTTGAATAATTTATCGCTTGACAAGCAAGTTTGATGAAAAGGAAGGCGATACGGATTAATAAAATCACAGAATGTTCGAGTTAAAACAAATGCTGAAATGTTTTAACTTATATTACCATAACACCTGTAAGCCTACTTTTCCTTACCAGCGCCTAATTTCAATACGGCATCGACTAGGCATTTTGGCGCGCCGACCGACTCTCAGTTTGGAATTGCACAAACGTAGCTTGGTAGTGCTGCTTTTTCTTGTAAGAATTTTTGAAACAAAGAAATGTAGCTATTTGACGAAAAGAAAGAGAGGCGCCCCTTGCTTTGGTGTTAAGGTGCCTTTGATCCTTAGCATTCGCCGGAAATGTTGCGTGGCAGATCAAAGAGCGAACAGTAAGGGAACATGATTCAATATAGTAAGATGTTCTGTTCCCGCTAGCCATTCAACATCTCCTCCCTCCAATCAAGCAAACAATACACTTAGCAAATATCACGTATTTGTTAAGCAAATTAACCCTATGCGTTTGACCTTAAAATATCTCAACCAGGTTTCCAAAAAGAAAGTGTTCAAGGAAGCCTTCAAGAAAAACGTACGACGAATTATGTGGATTACACTGCTTTCATGCAACAGAGGCCGTCTTTCTTTATACAATGTAAACTAACCAAATTTCAGCTAGCGCGGGCCCAAATAGCTCTTAAATTGCTCTGTGGGGGTGACGTTTACTTTGCTTTTGTTATGCATATACCTGCGAGGAAAAATTTTATGTAATGAAGCATTGTGTTGCATGAAGGAGGTCGAGAACGAGAAGAAATCACTGGAGACAAGACAAGTTTCTAATGTTACGGGCCAGAAAAATCACTTTTTACGCAAAATTTCTTGCCAGCATGATGTTGAGATCTTTGGCTCTTCCTTGTACATTGCAATTTATTAAAAGCAAAATGATTTGTTTTTTCTGTTTGTTACCATCTCGTGTGTCAAAAAGGCTACTAAGATAAGGTTTACTATGGTGCTAACGGCCTGCCGCAATCGTGACTTGACATGATATCGAGTCATAAAAAGTTACCGAAAATGAAGCTATGCTTGGTCGCGTTCGGTTAAAATGCACCCACACTATAAAACAAGCTATACACTTCAGTCTGCAACTAAGTATACAAAGCAATGACGAAGCGTAGTTATTTCTGAGAAAGTCATTAACATCCAGGGCAAAGTTGGTTGTAGAATTGCCATCAACCGCTGAGTCTGTATTATGTAAACGTGAAATGTAGCTGTAACTATTTCAGACGGTGGAAGAAATCGTATGGTGACCATTTAAATTACTTGTTGAGTCTGAACATAATCCCATTGGTGTAACCATTCAAATAAACGAGACTCTAAGTTTTTTCTTTTATTCTTTTTCTTTTTTCCACGAGCTTAAAAATAGTATTCATCAAGACTAGAAAGACAAATTTAGAAATACATATAAATTTGTTGCTGTAAAAATTACCATGCAGTTAAACCGTTTCCATTCCAAAAAAATGTAGACTAACAATGCAAATGCCTAAATATAAACATCTCAGGCGTTGATTCTACAAAAATAGCCCAGTAAATGGCTCTTGAAAGTACAAAAAGCTAGAGCGCTGCTACACTTGAATGCTCTCTATATAACATGTCTACAAATAATAATACTATTTCTAAATTGATAATGTGAGCTCCCCAAAATATAGACAATGTTAATTTTACAACTAAGCTTGAGCCGATTATTTTTACCAGCCTTGAGGGGTTTAAGTAATGCTTGGTAACTTTAAAAATCGCTTATTAAAATGCCTGGTACAGAAAGCTAAGTAAGGAGCTAAGTAACTAAGTAAAGAATGTCCAATACATCGTTGCTTTTAGCTTGAAAAGTAAGAGATCGAAAGGGAAGTCTACTGTTCACGTTAGTTTATAAAAAGCAACATGAAAAACAAGTATTTAAGAAAACTGTTCCTGGGACACGCCTTTCCGTAGCACTTCCTGAACCCTTCCACAAGAGCTGTGTATCCTTAGTTTTCAGTTAAGTACGAATTAATGATCGTAAAAGTATCAGCTAGGATGAAGAAACAAATATCGCTGTTTTGCTGGGGATTTACGTTGGCTCCTTGAATTTATCACTTGAATTATGTCTCCGTGACATTTTACGTTGTACTTTATAGGGGACTGTGTTCCTTATGGGTCTCTAAAGATTTATGTACCTGGTTGTTTCAAAAATCTGTTGGTATATGAATACGTTTGTGTCTCAGGAGCGGTGAAAACTCTCATTAGTCTCGCCCTGCAGGTATTAGGTCGTTTAACGACAAAACAAAATCAATCACGATGTCTCAGTGCGCTTATATCAAAAGCCAGAATGAGTAGTCGGCCAGACCGGTCGCATTGACAATGAAGTACTCCTTTTTATTCCGAGAGTCTTCGCTAAAATGGTCCAACCCTGCTAAGCATATTATTTAAAATAAAATGATCTAGCTGGAAAGTTCTAATTAATAGTGGAATTCTCCTTTTAAATGAGCTGGTTTGGCCTGCCAGTTCTGACTAAACGAAAGTGATCTAAGTTCACAAATCTAGTTATCAGAATATGCGGGGTGTTTTTTTTTATTCCCCACAAGTTTTCCTTTTTTACAGTAGGTTGTATCTCACTATTTTCAGTTATACTGTTCTTATCTGTGATACTATCACTTCAGGGAAAACAGCTCAACACCTGGCTACTGTAAAGATGCCGGGAAAACGATTTTGTAGTAGGGGCGCCTCTGGTATACTTTTAACCAAAATATATTTCTTTTCTCTTCTTGTTAAACTTTGGCGAATATAAACTAATTAGAAAAAACTATTTTCTCTCGTTCCTCGTTCAAGGTATGCTTTTTTTAAGTTCATATAGACACTGCTATAAGCCGGAGTGTCTCGGGGGCAAGATTAGGTTTGCTTTATCATTTAGTAAACCATAACTTTTCTCACCGTAGCAATTTTCACATGTTTTCACTGTACAAAGATAAATTTAAACACTACGATTACTGTTGAACACGTTAAAATAGCTTAATATAATTACATAGTACGTTTTAACAATCAAATATGGGGATTCACATCAATTATACAGAACGAAACAGACTAGCCAATAAAAAGACATCACTTTTTACAGGTTTGTAACAAACAGATGTTTTTAATGCCCACAACATACCTTTTAAGCTGTGATTTCTTAATTTTTTTCTCTTCTAAAGCCTATAAAGGGACCGACGACTACGTTTAAAAGTTTATAAAATAATTGTCCCCAATTGAAAGCGATGCATTTTG